TGACCCATACTTTTCAGAGTGAGGTACTCTCCTTTTTCTCTTGGGTGTCCCATACAACACATAATAATCGAAAGAACACCCAGATGGTTCTCCTAACAAATCCACTTCACGAACACCTTCTCTATGTAGTTGCTTCAACAGGGTATTGCGCGATACTCCTCTCTTTCTTCTTTCTGCTTTTAGATGAATTTCCTCTTCGATGTCCGTCATACCATCATCCTCTTCATCATTGTAGGTCCCTCTAGAAGTTTGGCCTTTTTCACATTCCAGCACACATCCTTCTTCTTCGTTATCCTCTCTTTCTTCTTTTTCGTACATTTTGTTCTTGAACTCATTAGCTAGTAAATAGTTATTAGCCATGACAGGAGGTAACATACCAAACTGAATAGTAAGAGGCTGACCTAGATCTTCTTCATCCCTTCTGTCTCGGTCAAACTTCGATCTTCCAAAAGAACTCTCTGGCAATTCTTTCATCGATTCACCTGTACCAGTCTCTTCACTGTCTTCGAGAACATTTTAATTTGCTACCTCGAGTAGTTTAGGCGCCTTAGGATGTGGCACTCCCTGTTGTTGCCTCATCATTTGTCCATAATTTCGTTGAAAATGCCTTTGTTGGGTTCTAGTCATCTCGTTGAAGAGTATCACCCTTCTTGCATTATATTGGAACGACTGCCATACATTTGGTTGGCGAGGTTGCGGCCTGAATATTCTCCCATTATTTATTGACCTGAACTGCCTCTCAAAAGGTGATCCTCTATAGAATGATGTACCTCGCCCTCTAACAGGCTGAGCGTTTGGGAAAAAACTAGGGCGATGGTGATGTTGCCATATCCCTAGTTTCTCTGTATTTGCACTCACTTCTCCTTTACATCTTGCACATAGGACGTCTTCATTCTTTTTAGGCTCCTTCCCTTTGATACGTTCAAAGACATTGGGGTATGGCCCAGGGTCCTCCTATCCGTCGTCTATAACCAACTTGAATTTTGGTAACCTGTTTTTGAAACCAGCCGTCACCATGTTCAACCCAAGTGGCTGTAGAAAACGGTTTTCATCCACTGCCATCTTCTTCTTATCTTCGAACATAATTCGTCCTGATTCAATGGCGTCCTGTAACACATGGCGAAAAACCAAACAGTTGTTAGTCAAATGTGACCATGTATTATGCCACTTACAATATTTTTTACACTTGATTTGTTCAGGGCTTTACAACTTATGTTTATTGCTCAGCTTTATCTGTTTTTCCTTATATAGTTTATCAAATATAAGTTCAGCTTTGGTTACATCGAACGAGAACGTTCTAGCCTTTTTGTTTTCATCTTTTATAGGCTCATCCTTACCCGACGATCTAGGCTTAGCCATTATAGGACAAGTATACGCATCTCCTTTGATTAACTCGACCAAACACATTTCGGTTTGATCGTAATACTCGCCATTAATGGTATGAACATCAAAATTTGGGTCTCTATAATAAGTCCCCTTGCTAGAATTTTTCATTTGCTCTTCTTCTCTTATTAATCGTTCATACCTAATCACGTTTGCGCTTAATTGGAAAAGATCAGGAAATTCCCTGTTTTGGAATTTCTTTTTCAAATCAAAGTTTAGACAGTTTTGAGCGATTTTGACAAACTCCTTTTCGGGCAAAGGTACAAAACATTTACTTCTTGCTGTCTTTTGAACCTTTGAAGGAAACCTTCTACCCATTCATTTGGGATTTGATATAGATTCGTCAAATCGGCCAAATTAACTTTAGACTCAGTCTTATAAAACTGAGCATGGAACAATTGCTCCAATTGTTGCCATGTTTGAACAGAGTTCGCTGGCAAATTGATGAACCAGGATAAATCTACTCCTGTTAATGAACTAGGGAACAACCTCATTTTATGGTAGTCGGTTATTTCACCACTTTGCAGTGTGAATCTCCCTATGTGTTCTAGAGTAGATATCTCTCCTAAGCCAGTAAATAATGAGAATCCTGGCACTTTATACCCTCTAGGCCATGGATATGCTTAGTCTACCCAATCAGGATATGGCTTTGTCTAAGTCGACCTTATGACGGGAAGTACTCCAAAAGCCATTTGATCCTGTATTTGATTTCTCAACATGACGTTGGGGTCATATGGAATTCCTACAGGTTGGTTGATCGGTTGATTTGCTTGAGGCCTGATGTTTGGTCTTTGGTTGGCAACAAAGTTGCCATGATTTGGGTCATTGTTACCATTAGCCTGAATATTTATTCCATCATTAACACGTGGGGTGTTCTGTCCATTATTTAGGACATTGTCTCTTACATTTAGGTTACCCCCCAAGTTAGATGTACCATTACCACTATTTTGATTTGGCATTACACCATCCCCTGGTTTGAAGTAGACGGACCAAAAGGTGATTCTATCCCTTAATTTGGACTTAGGATTGGGGAATTATGTCCTACAATTGTCCTAGCTTGAAAGTGACTTGCAATAGGCACAACTGGCTGACAAATTTGTTCTACTAACTTATTCATTATTTCATTTAATGTATTTAGTTGTTTGGCCATGTTGCCATAATGTGCATTCCCATTCTGGGTAAATCTTTTCATATTATGAACATTTCGTAGATTTACCTGTTCAACGACATCCTATGTGAGTTCTCCAAGCAATGCACGCATGGTTCGAGGACTCAACTCTATCATTGGTTCGTAATGACTGAGACTGCTCTGACTCTGTCCCTCTATTCGTGGAGAGCTCTGCTACTCCTCATATCGCTCGATCACAGACTGAACTCCTCCCTAACTTCTGCTTCCTTATCAAATTTGTGAGGCATATTGTTTCACTTTTTGTATCCTCAACACCAAACACCAAGGTTCCACTGGGCGTGCCAAATTGTTTCGCGCGGGTAGTCGCTAACAATTAAAAAAGGGATCAGACGATTGTGTAAGGAGCAGACCTCTTGAGATAAAGTCCAAAAAAGGGGTGTTTTATTTGCGATGATTTACAATTGGAAATAAACAGAATGCCTTCAAGGGGGCAGGCACACGAGTACTAAAAGAAGTGTTTAAATTTAAGCTAAGAAATTAAAATTACATATTCTCTGTTTGAGAGTGTTTGATTCTTTTTTTTTTCTCTATGTCTTCTCTTCATTTTTATATTCCCTTGATGATTTCCTCGTGACAAACCGCTTGGAAACTGCTTGATCGTTTTATAATTACCCACTTTTTTTATGGTGGCTAACTTGTCGTGGAACTACCGTCTCTAACTGTTGTCATTACTCTTTGTCGTTCAACCGCCTTCAGCTGGGCTCCTTGAATCATGGAATGTGATAAGATTACTCAATAACTGCTATTCTGGATAACCATAATATTTTATATTTGTTAAGATCCTAGGCGATTCGAAAGTTTGGGCGAGAACGGGGTCATCGCTCTGGGCGACCGTAAGGCACTCCATTCGCTCAGATTCTGGGCGTCTTGCAAGTTTGGACGATGATGTTACTATGTTTGTGGGCTTCCACTGCATTCATCAATAATCCTGTCTGGACCTTTATCCTGGACTCCCCAATTGGGCTTCACTCTTTAGGCTATTTGATTTGAGCTGCACTTTTAGTGTATCAACAAGAAGAAAAAGTCAGAACCCGATTGGAAAACACATTTCGCCGTTAATTAGTGAGTTTCTAATTTCCTTTGGTTCTTGAAGTAGTAAGTTTCTTATTCTGTCCCCTTTTTCAATTAGTAGGGTTCCTACTTTATTTGGGTTGGAAACTAAAAAAGACATTAATACTGCAGAAGACCTCAACCATTTCTTATTGCGTTCAGTTGGAAAACTAGAGAATAAGGCATTTAATGTTCATTTAATAAACATCAATTCTCTCAAAAGGCAAGCTAGTGGGATTGACATAAATCAACTACTTTATCTCAAGAATGAAAATGTAACAATTGTTAGGACCTATAGATTTTAAATTATTTTAGAGCACTAAATTTTCATTATGTTTAAATTAGATAAGCAAATGTACTCTAGTGTTATTATGGATTATTGATCGTGACCGATTATCTTATTGTAGCAGAGTAAATTATGAATAAAGTGCAAAATGAAGATGATGGTGCTTTGGCGGAATCTAATGATGAGAAACGGTATAAATCCACTAACATAGTGGATGGTGAAACCTCATTGGGAGACAATGTAATTGTGCCTGAGGTGGATATAGAGTTTAAGGATTCATAAAATATATTTGACATGTACAAAAATTATGTATATGCCATTGGGTTTCCAGTTAAGAAAAGAAATTCGAAAGTGGAGACGATTGAAAGTAGAGATATATTACAGTGACATGTAGCTGAGAAGGTCGAGAATCGGTAATATAATAGATCTTTGAAGCCACAACCAACAATACATGTGGGTAGTAAAGCCAGAATTTTTGCTTCTACGGATATTTATGGAGTGTGGATAATTAGCACAACCTACCTTGACCACAATCATGAAACTAGCCCTTCGAAGTCCAGGTTATTCCGATGCAACAAAGAGTTGAGTACACATGTGAAATGCAAGCTACAAGTTAATGATTTGATAAGAATTCTATAGCATAAAAGTTACAATTCTGTAGTTATAGAAATAGGTGATTATTAAAACATAAGTTGCATGGAGAAGGATTGTTGAAATTACATTGAAAAAGTGAGACGATTAAGACTTGGAGAAGGAGAAGCTACAGCAGTACAAACATACTTTTCAAAAATGCAAGCACAGTGCTTGGGATTTTTCTTTAGTATGGATTTGACGATGATTCCCAGCTGAAGAACGTAATTTGGACAGATAATTGTTGTAGGGATACATTTTGATACCACTTACCTGACAAACAATTATGACGTGCATTTATCCTCTTTTGTTGGCGTCAATCATCAAAGGCAATAAAAACTTCTTGGTTGTGGATTGGTATAAAACAAAGACACAAATACTTTTGTCTGATTGTTTAGAACACAGCTCTAGTGTATACATGGTCAAGCATGGCATGGAATAATTACTGATCAAGACAGGGCAATGCAAAATGTAATTCAGTTTGTTTTTTCAAACATAAGACATAGATGGTGTTTGTGGCACATTTTGAAGAAGTTGTCTGAGAAGTTTAGATACTACGATAATAAAGGATTGATATTTGGAGCAATACACAAATTAGTATATGATTCCAAGTTTATTCAGGAATTTGAAGAAGGTTAGGTTGCGATGATTGATACTTATTGCTTGTAGGATAACGATTGGTTGTCCAGGCTGTATGAGAACAGAGGTGTTGGATTTCTTGTTCATAAAGACTAGTTTCTGGGTAGGGATGTTAACGACACAAAGAAGTGAAAGTATGAATGCATTCTTCAATGAGTTTGTACATTCTAAGACATTATTAAACAGGTATGAACAAGCACTGTGCAATAAAGTTGAAGAGTTCCAAGCTAATTTCAAGTCATTTTTTCAAATGTTGCCGTGTGCCACACAATATGAAATGGAGCAGCAATTTCAATCAATTTACACCATTTCTAAATCCAAAAAACCTAAGGCTGAGTTTACGGAGAAGGTTTATTGCGACCTCATCTCTACTTCAGAGGGAAACTTAGGGAAAACGTATGAGGTTCGGGAGGACGTTATGTGTGGCAGGCTATAAAAGAAGAAAATATTCATCGTCTCATTTGATAGACATAATTCTGATATTGTTTGTAGTGCCATTTGTTTGAGTTTTGGGAAATAATTTGTCGGCATGCAATTACAGTACTGATTTGTAGTAACATCACGTTACTTCGCGAGAGGTGCATAATTCGGAGATGGAGGAAAGACGTTAGTAGAGCACACATGAAAATCGTAGTGAATTATGACAATTTGTTTAGTAATCCTAAACAGTTGAGATACGATGATATGTGCCGTGCTTTTGAACAGGTGGTGGACCTTGCAGAAAACGATGAAGGTTGAGCATTTGTGATTATGGACTTGATAAAACTTCAACATCAAGATCTCATGATGTCAAAAAAGTTGTTTAGTGAAAGCAATGCCATGTCTAATAATCCTATTCAATAAGCCGATTAGTGCAGTAATTTTCAAAATCATGATAGCGTGACTGTACGTGATTCGATGTCATCGTGCACAAAGGAAGTGCCCAAGAAACTTCGGAGAAAAGGTCCTTTGGAGTTGAGTTTGAAGAAATGCAAGGTGCATTAAATGCTTAGACTATGAACTTCAAATGTTTCCAATAATCAATACTGATCACATTCTATGCACATTCAGGGAAGTTCAACATCAAACAAAGGAAAGCGACCGAAAACGAGGTAAAAGGGATATGTTAGAGAGTGTTGTCGACATTCAGCAAGCTTAAACACAACAACATTTCGTGCAGACACTGAACTCATATTTACAATACTCCATGTCGGCAACATTCTTGTTATCCTAGTATTCCATCGCGATACCATTCTCCCTTCCAAGAGCATTACCGTCTTCAAATTTGGTCCCCCTTCATCAACAAACTTTATGTATAGTTCACAAGATAAGAACAATGTATGACATTTCAACTTCAGATGTATAGTTATGTCATGCATACACCTATTAATGTTCTCAATGTATTGTAGGTTAAGTAATGCCATACTGTTTTTTGCCTTTATTGTTATGTCATGCATACACCTATTAATGTTCTCAATGTATTGCAGGTTAAGTAATGCCATACTGTTTTTTGCCTTTATTGGACCAAGGTAGCTCAGGCAAGAGAGGGTCAATTTTATTTTCACCACCAATGACAAGGAAGATAGCATCGACATTTACATGCTACTATTCTTATTTTTTTGGATATTGTATGATGCTATAACTTATGGTAAAGTATATATATGAAAGTATGGCTTATCATTTTTTGGTTATTTAGTCTTTTTCTATAAATTGTGCGATTGTTTTGTATTTCTGTGTTTGGTTCGAGTTGATTTTGTATGCATGGTTGATTAAAAGCTATTAAGAAGTTAAAATCTACAGCTGGCCGAGCTGATTGGTTTTAGTACTGCCTCTCAGCAACTTAACGGCTGCATATAATGAAATTCAGTGGCACAAATACTAACTCTTGCCTCTTATAGTTTGGGGAGTTAGATAGACAGGGCCATATATTGAATCAATTTTAGTTAGATAGACAGGGCCATATAGACAGGTAGTAATTTTAGCTTGCCATATCCTTGTTGTTATTCTTTTGGTTGATATTTGAATTTGGAGACGGAAGCTTCGAAATTTGAAGAAAGATTTGGTTTCATACTTGGTTCATTTATGGATTTTGATTTGGGAATGGAAGTTTTTGTGGTGGATTTTTCTCTAATTTTGGGAATGTAATTATTTTGACAAATGGAGTTTTGTGTAGCTCGAAGTTTATTTGCTTCGTTTTCCTTTACTCTGGGTTTAATTTCTCAAATTATGTACTTAATATTTTGAACTTTGCCTGTGATTTTTACATTCACAAATTCAGGGGCACTTACATTTGTAAATTTAGATGCACAACCTAAGATCTAGTGTTATGTTTATCTCTTACCTACTAAGTTTAAAATGGGAAGTACACTGGTAATATAAAGTAGATTGTTCACGAAAATAATATTTCAATTTAAACCACCGTATCATAACAAGTAATAAAGTGAAATTTAGAGTTTTGAATATCGTCTCTTAAAGATTGACTTAGTTAAATTTTACCTATCTCGACCTTAATCGAAACCAAATTATCAAACTTGATTTGTTGTAACTAAATTTAACCCTACTTAGACTAAATAAGCAAATATGTATGATTTGAATGAATTAAAATGCAAAGTGAATGTGTTGAATGCAAGTCGATATACTCAATGAATATGAAGCACACTAGGATCATGAATCCCCAAGCAATCATCACCTTTAACCCTAGTTTCACAATTTGACAACACATTGAATTTTTGAAGAATTAATACTCCTAAATCTATCCAACAATCTCTTTCGAGTAATGTTGAATCTATTCACATATACCATCAGCTTGTATCTCTATAACGGGTACAAATATACAAGAAGACATGTAATATTGTGAGCACTTAAAGATTCACACAAAACATAGCAGTATATCTTTATCCCCTATCGGATCCTACGACATTTATACCCTGTCAAACTTATTCCCCTTCTCTCGAATGCATGAAATAAGTCACCACACTTATATAATTACGTGCACGTAATTATGGAAGCAATTAATTGTATATAAATCATTCAACAATTGCATAACATGTTTACATTTAAATCTAGTCTAACATAGCGGTGGAATTAAACAAATAAAGGGGGAATGACATCAGTGATAATTTGACGGAACGTGATTAATTTTCCAATTTTTCGCAAAAGGATAGATTGATTTTAAACGCATAAAAATTTGGAATTTCCTTCTCCCATGTTCGCCGCCCGTCTCGTGTCTCTGCCGTCTCCTTCAATTGTGGTGCGTAATTGTGTCTTGTTTTTTTAAAATTTTTAGCCTCCTGTTTCTGTATTTTCTGTGCTTGTAAATGTCTTACTGCCCTTTTTTATTTCCCCAAACAGCTGCCCAATGTCTCTCTCCCCAGCTGCGACTTCTATGTTATAATTTTTCCAACTTTCGGCAGTCCACCAATTTTATTCTAATTTTCTCCCCTCTAAAGCTGCCATTTTTTCTGTCTGCATATATGATAATCCCCAACGGCCATTGACTTTACTTGTTCAGCACTTAATTTCCAGCCTCCTCCAATCTACCGACTTGTGTATATGAATAATCCCCAAAAGGGATTCCAATTTTTTGTCCCCATTAGCTTTTTGCTGTGTAGCTGTATATATATATATATATATATAGTACAAGTTGCAGCGGCCAATTGTTTTGTGGAATTAGAATTCTTTTCTTAAAATCCCACTAATTGTATCATTTTTAATTCAGCCACCAATTTTATTATTTAATTCAAAACTCCAATTCCAACCTAATTTGTCTTTTATTTCATCTCCTTCATTCGACAATTTACTTTTGGTTTTACAATTCCCATAGGCCTTTGTGGCCTAAGTGCTCTCAAGGCCCAATTTCAATTCCAATGTATTCTTTCAAGTAATGCATTTTAGTCCTTCGATTTCTATAGTGTAGACTTTGATCCACAAAATTGCAATTTCATTCAATTTCATCATTCTTTCTTTTGCATTTCTTTGTCTACCGAGACCTCGTGTCTTCAATCAATTGGTACTTAACTCTTTCACGTCCTCGATTTTGCTTTTGGGGTCATCTTTTGGTGATTTTTATTTTGGTCCTTGAACTTTTGTTTTCTTACTTTTTGGTCCTTTTTCGTTCATTTTCTCTTAAATTGCGCCATACTCATCAATCTTGTCCTAAAAAATGAAATTATACAGAATTAAGTTATATTCAAACACTTTTGTCAACAATTAGTCATGTTTTTGAACCCTTGCAGGTTTCTTTACTCAAGTTATAAAGACTCGATAAGATGACTGTTTATTAACTTCTCCCCTTTGTGCTTTCTATATGATCCCTGTAGCGAGTTTTAGGCTGATGACTTCCAAACCAGTTGCCTTTGGAGCTCCAGGTTTTTAAACCCTTGTACACTTACTTGCTCGACTCATAAAGGATTTGAAAGAAGTTTTATTTTTACACATATTAATTTTATGCCACTCTTTGTTTTTCTAGACATTTTGTTTTCAAAACGAACCCCCAATTTAAGACTTTCACATAGTTTTCATCTCACTGGTCTAGGCAATCCACACAATAAAAATTCATGCACGAAACCCCTACTTATCTCAAAGTTCCCCTGTAATTTTTCAACCATCTCCAAACTATTCTAAAGTGGTTCACGGGTTAATACAATAGAGATTTTTCTGGTTTCTCCCAATATGTTCATGTATACAATCACTAACCTAACATATAGAGCATGAGTGGCATTCGCAAAGAATGTCAAATCTTACATCAACTATTATCAGTTAATGAAATCATGAACCATATCCACAGTTCCTAACGCATACTTATTCCAATATTCATATCATTGCCGACAAGACTATTAAGCCCACACATGCACACAAAGTCATACAGGAAGCAGTAAATCAACCACATTTACTGATAAATATCAACGGTGCCTTTCCCATATTACAATTTTCCTCCAAATCTTAACCCTGTTCTTCTCCAAGTAGCGTGACGTTCTACCATCACCCATTTCGAACTCAACAATATGCACTTCAATATCTTCATAAGGTTTAATCACAAACTTAATTTATGAGCAAACGATAAAGTCGAGAGATTACGTGCTAATTCTCTCTTCTTTGAATGCTACTAACTCTTTTTGGTCCGTTATGATTAACTTTTCGATCTTTTCATGTTTCTCTTCATTAATCGAAGTTTTATCAAGCTCAATGTTCGTATTCGAAACTTGTGGCAAAGAAACTATGACATGCTCATGGAAAGTCTCTTCCTCTTTTTGTATTTGTTGGAAGGTCAGTAGACATGATTCCCTTAGCTGCGGTTCATTAATGATTGGTGCAAAAAATAATCCAATAGGGAAATCACCCAAATCAAATTGTGTTGGGAGAAATAATGTAGTAGGCAAGTCACCCAAGATAGCTTTATCTAGTTCACGTTTCGATTTTATATCTTATAATCGCTGCCTATAATGAAATCTCCTAAAAACATAACGCCCTCATCAATTTCTTGAGTTGTCAGTTGATGTTGTCTTATGATGAAGTCGCATATGAGCATTTTATTGAAATCAACCACAACCAAGATAAATAAAGTCAAGCTAAAACGCAATCCCCGATAACGGTGCTAAAAACTTGTCGACGAAAAATATATTTCGATTTAAACCCCGCAAGTATATGGCTCGTTAACAAGTAATAAAGTGGATGCTGAGTCCAAGTACCGTCCCACAAGGATTGATTTAGTTCAATTTCTATTACCATGACCTTAATCGAAACGAGAATGATGAGAATGTGTTTGTTGCGAATTGATTATACCTAAACTAGGGTATGTACGCAATTATGTATTAATTTAATGAAATTAAATGTAAAATGATATTTGAATGCAAGTTTGATGAAATCAATGAATATGAAGCGTATTAGGATCACAAATCCCCAAGCAGTGCTTACATTTAACCATAGTTCCACAATTCGACAACACATTGAATTTTTGAAGAATCAATGCTGCTAAATCTATTCAAAAATCTCTCTCGAGTAACGTT